ATCAATATAAACCTTCTAAATTTAACTAACAATAATTAATATATTTACAGTATGATATACGGAGTAATAATTATAATAAGTTGAATTGTATTCATTATTTAATTTCATAAAAAAATATTTTTTTGTAAGAAATTTATTAAAATGTTATATACAAATTTATTAACAATTACTAAAGATGTGAGTTTAGACATAAATTTTATTCATATATATTTTGTTTCATATCACTTGTGAAAAATAAAATAGCCTTAAGTGGCTCGGACTATTGGGATAATCCAATAAATTTCGGACTAGTTGTCGGAATAGGGATTACATTGAATGAACAAAAAGCAGAGATAAACAAGAGGCAGAGATGGAGCGAAGAAGAGGTGCAGAAGATGAACAAGAAAGAAAGTTATTATTGATGGTAAGTCCAATATTCCTACACTGGTTTTGTTTATATAAGGGAAAGAAAGGGAAAGAAATAAAAGGGAAATAAAGGAAAATAAAATGGAAGGGGAGGATTACATTTTTATCCTCCAACACCCCCCCGTAAGCTGGAGCATGTAGATCCTACATGCCCAGCTTAAACACAAAAAATAAAGAGGACTGCAAACATAGGCTACTCATTGAGTCCACCAAGAATGGTGGACCTCCTTATACACCCATCAGATTCTGCTCTGCTAGAGAAACCATCAACATGAAGCATCATCCTTCATCATGAACTCAACTCCACATTGACCAACAACATTCTGGATCGTACTCATATTGAATGAAAAGCCATCTCCAAGCATTTTAAACAGAAATTCCTTAACATCATTGTGAAGTGTGCCACTCTTCTCTGTATTCTCAGAACTTGAAGTTGTAGATGTGCTAGCTTGCAGATTGCAGATTATGTCACCATCAATAGAAGGATCGCGACCTGCTTTACAATAAGCTGAAGCAATATCTTCAAGTGAAACAACAGAACCAAAAAAACTTCAGAACATAGTTTCCCAATACCATTTGGTTCAAGCTCAAACGGATGGTTTGCTGCAACCTCTGCAACAGCGCTCCATCAAAATCTCCTAGCTTCAATTTACAGGCAGAACAATTTGAGAAGATCTGAGACCTCATCTTCATCAAAGTCTTTATATTCACATTATCAATGTTGTTCTTCTCCCAACAGTCCTGGAAATCAGAAACAACAACATCTCTGGCTATCCAGTGTTCTAGATCATCAATTGATCCACCAGATACTATTATTGCTTCTAAGCTGGACAGTCCATCTCGGAGATGATGCTTAAATGTTTCTCTATCAAACTCAACATATTTACCGATTGCACAGGCAGCCATCTGTTGAATGTGTGGATTTGAATGATCCTTGCAAGCTTCGAACAGGAGTGGAATGTATTCTGCATACTTCCTTAACACATGTTCTCCGCCTTCCTTTGCAATGTTACTCAAAATATTTGCCAAAAACCGTTCTTCTTTCTCCAGAGAAAGTCGGCTCAGAACCTGCAGAATTGTCTCAGAATTGCCTTGCGCCATTGAGAGATCAGACATGTCATCATAAAATTCAATATAACCTTTGTTCCCGCCCTGGTATCCCTGCCAAGGCGGCGGTCCACAGAGAAACTGATTCTTCTCAGGAAAGCTCAAACTACGGTCCTTAAAAATCGCACTGCGCGAATCAAGCACATTGGCCAAATTGCCGTCCGGACTGATCGGAATCCTCTGCGGATTGATCAGAATCGACGGAGCTCCTCCCTTCCGCTGCGGAACGGCTACGTCTGTGGCTGAATCGGAGAACTGATCCATCTGCTTCAACCACTGTGAGCTACGAACTCCTTCCTCTGCGGCTGGGGAGGTTCGAGCAATCGGATGATCGGCTACGGCTATGGCTCTCTGAACGTATTTGAAATGGAAATATACAACCGCTGCGGCTGATTGCTCCAAATCCCGAATCCTCTGCGGATTGATCGGAATAAACGAACGAGCTCCTCCATTCCGTTGCGGAACGGCTGTGGAGATCGCCGTATCTTCTGGATTCCTCTGCGGAATCAGTGTTGATGCTGATCGGACTGTTGATCTAGCGTCGACTTTGTTATTTCTACTCTGCGTAGAACTAATCTTCTCCGCTGCCTGGGATTGAAGAAGAAAAGCACGGTTGATCGAGTTCCTCTGCGGAACCGACTTTGGAACAACGCGAGAAAGGAATCGAACGAACAGATATTTTGCGGTTGGAGATTGTGCGATCGGAATGGTAGCCAGCGTCTCCTGCTTCACGCCGGCGAAGGTAGAGACGGCGGCGACGGCGTAGGATCGCGGCTCTGATACCATGTCGGAATAGGGATTACATTGAATGAACAAAAAGCAGAGATAAACAAGAGGCAGAGATGGAGCGAAGAAGAGGTGCAGAAGATGAACAAGAAAGAAAGTTATTATTGATGGTAAGTCCAATATTCCTACACTGGTTTTGTTTATATAAGGGAAAGAAAGGGAAAGAAATAAAAGGGAAATAAAGGAAAATAAAATGGAAGGGGAGGATTACATTTTTATCCTCCAACACTAGTCTGTTTGGGCCATTGGGCTTATTGGTTTTGGTTTTATAATTGTCGAACTAATTTTTTTAGAGTTAAAACCCAAAATGGTCATCGACTATAATGATTTTTCTCAATTTCGTTCTAGACGACATTGATGGCCTAATCTAGTCCCAGACTTTTGTGTTTTTGCTCAATTTAGTCCTTTGTTTGTTATTCCGTCCATTTGGTGTTAAATAGAGGGACATTCAGTAATTTCAATATTGACATTTCTTTACTCCTAGACATGTAAAGTGCGAAATCCCTCTTTCTTTTACGAGTTAATACCAAACTTGCCAATATAAAATTTGATTTCGGAGGTCTGGGAGTAATTCGTAAAAGAAAGAGGAATTTCGCACTTCGCAGGCTGAGAGTAAAGAGAGACCAATATTGGAATTGCTGAATTGTCCCTTTATTTAACACCAATTTGACGGAATAACAAACGGAGAACTAAATTGAGCAAATAAACTAAAGTCTGGGACTACATCAGGTCACCAAAGTCTTTTAGGACGAAATTAAGAAAATCACTATAGTCGATGATCATTAAATTTAACACAATTTTTTTTATCACACTAAAGTTTCTTGATCATAACTTTAAAATTTATTGAATTTATCTTTTCTCATCAATTTTGGACTAAGCTAGATTGACATCTGAAGTAGTGGAAATTTGGCAATTCAGGTAGTCGAATTTGGGCAATTGTGGTTGCCTTGGCTTTGGGTTTATTTTTAATTTGGATTACTTAAGGTCTCCAATTTTGGACAGATTTTTCCACCAAAACTATCCTGTTAGTGGATTATTAATATGTGTCCAATTTTAAACAAGAAGTTTGAAATTCAAAGCATATTTTGGCGGCTGACAGTTTAGCGTTTCGGGCTTGGGTTTGATTTTATTGGTTTCGATTTCGATTTTAAAAAATTAAACCATTCAATTTAACATTAGAGTTCAGTTTGATTTCGATTTGGTTTGAAAATTGAAATGGTTCAGTTTCGGTTTAAATTTAATTTAGTTCGGTATTTGATTCGGTTTAAGATCTCCAAATTTCAATATTTTTTAATTTTTTGAACACCAAATAATGCATATTCACATAATCACATAAAGTCTAAACATTATATAACAAAATAGCAATCCAAAGTTCAAACACACTACTAAGTACTAATTACCATATCAGTTGACTTTTTTGCACAGCCGACTCTTCTGTTGGCTCACTTGAAATATTTTATTGACAAGATGAATAACCATCTATCTGTATAGTTAATATTTGAAGAACAAATGTCAAGTACTGATATAATCTCATTTGTGCATGTTTTTCTTGTTAATTTGAATCTATTTGTGGGCTTAAGTTTATTAGATTGTCACTTTCAATGTCTATTTCCTTGCTTTCTCATGTACATATGGTTTAATGCTTGATTTGAATGTATTTATGGTGTTTGTTAGTGTTTTGAAACCATTGTAGTGCAACTGCAAAAGCAAGAGAAGTCTTTAAAGCATGCATGGAGCCAAAAAGAATGTACAATGTTGTTGTTGAAGACTCGACGCGTCGAATCATACATTCGACGCGTCCAAAGTTTCTAGCAGTCGAAGACTCAACGCGTCGAATGCCCGTCCTAGGTGAGGATTAAGCTGTGCGGAAATTCCTATTTTGCCCCTACTCGGCTCTCGCTATAAAATGCCTATCTTCCCTCAACCCTAGGACTTCAAGCTGCATTTTTGGAGACAAAAATTGAGTGAAAGAGAAGAGAACACATTAAGAGCTACAAGTTACCTTGGAGGAACGAGGAAAAGCTAGGAAGATTCGGGAGAATTCATTCCCCTTTTCTTTTACTTTCTTTGTTGCTTGTGAACTCCTAGATATTATTATAATGAATGCTATTCTAGCCTTGAGTGGCTAAAATATCTCAGGGATTTTTGGGCGAAAGTGTTTATGAACCTATGTGTCTGGTTCTTAATTTCGTTAATATATTTACATTTGGGATTTATGACTTGTGTTGAAATTGTGATTTATATTGTTGTTGCTAGTAATTAAAGACATAAATTACTCGTTTCATAGCTATCTTTATGTCTTAACGGGAGTTAGGGCATAATTAAGAGCACCCACAATTGCACTTGACTATTACACCTTGGGAGATGACATATTTGTTAAAGATTTATCTTGAATGCTTGTTCTTGAGTTGCTTAACTGTTTATATCATGTGAATGAATATTCACTAGCATTATTTTAGGTTAGAATTATGGGAGTAATTTCTTCCCTTATATGCATTATCACACTTGTTTGAACCCAAATTGAAGGTTGCACATTAGATTGACACTAGGTGATTAAGCACTTCATTCCATGAATCCCACTTTTTAAATTACTCTATTATTTTTATCAACTTGCTCACCTTGTTCTCTTTTAATTAGTTTACTTTTGTAATCAATTAATCACCCTTTTCGCTAGGATTAACTTCTCATGAATAGATTAGCAGCTAGTGCTTGATACGTCCTGCTTCCCTGTGGATCGATAACCCGATACACTGTGTATTTATTTGATTGTCAAAATATACTGCCATCAAGTACTGTATAGTTAATTTTTGGGTGCACTGGAAATACATTCCACTGCATTGGAAATCAAAATTAGAATGACGTTAAAGCACATTAAATTCATAGAAACATGAAACTAAGGAAAATATTGAATATTGTAAAAATAACTCAAGTTAGATATAATTGTGAGGTAAAGAATAATTGCGGCAAAAAACAAAAGTGCAAAGTAGAGAACAAGTCATAAAGAAATCAAATAAAAAATTTAAGAGATACTAGTGAGAATAGGAACTGAACGGGGGAGCATGCATCAAGAGACTTGAATTTACTTCTTTTATTATTATTAATATTATTATTAGTATCATTAAAAGAAATCAACAGTATTTGGTTCGGTTCGATTTTTACCGAACCATTAGGTTCGATTTTTAACCAAATCGTTCAGTTTATAAGAATCTCGAATCGTTCGATTTTTCAGTATATTACTAGTTCGGTTCGGTTCAGTTTTGTAAAAAGCACAATATCAATCAAACACCTTAAATTTGATGCGATTTTTATATAATCATGCCACCACCTATATCTATTACGGAGCACTTGTTTATTTTTGTAAAACTCTTAACCCATAACTGTACTTGTTATCACCCAAAAAATAAACTCATGCAAAGCGGGTTCGGGTGAATTCTTGCGGATCGGATTGAAATATAATTGGCACTCCTAAATGTATTTATTATAGTTTGTAAATTAATCAAATAACTGTTAGACTTCGATAATGTTTTGTGGTCTAATTACTAACCTTCTTTGCAACGATAGCAACTATGGATTTGGATATATTTTCCAGCACCCTACAACATTATACGAAAAAATAAAACTATTTTGGTAAACATATGATGGATGGCAAATATTTTTTACATTTAATAAATACAATATACGTAGTTTTATACTGACCCTCCAGAACTCCATGGATCCTTCAATCCATTAAAGAAAATCATGTTGCTACCGAACCTTTTCAAAATCCTCTTAATATTCTGTTCATTCAAACAACATTTGAATATTTATAAAATATTAACAAATTAAAAGATATTAGCATTAAATCTGTGATAAATTCTAAAATGTTGATTGCTAAAATTATAAAGTAACAAGAGTAATTAAAAATATAATTTTTTAAAAGTTGGGCAATTAATTAGCTTAGCCGTGTCCCGTGTGGTAATTCTGTCCAACAATCATTATAATGTGAACCATAGTCTATATTATAAAGTGTCATTACTGACATTAATGTTCATTTTTAGTATACTGAAAGTTCATTTTTAATGTACTAAATATTAATTTTTAAAAAGTTTGTTTTTATTATGTTAAAAATATATTTTTTATATACAATCTAAAAAAATTTCAATAAATTAAAATCAACTTTTAATATATTACGGAGTAAAAATAAACATGGTTAATGGTACGTACACAATATAAATTCAATCATTATTGTGTGGACCATGGTCGACACGAGTTGTGTGGACCATATTTTGTATGTTATAAAATAATGTACATTTAGTATAAAAATAATGTACTTTTAGTATATTAATAATGCATATTGTATTCGGGAAAAATACATTATTTGAGTATTAAAAGTACATTATTTTGTATAATTTACATTCAATACACAAATAATGTACATTTAGTATATTAAAAATGTAGTTTTTGTTATGGTCCACACAATAATTTGTGGTATAAATTGTCCCTGTAGTCTTAATCTAGTTAGGCCTGGGCACAATGTTTAGGAGCTCTTTCAGTCTTTGCAGCGTTGGACCCTTTCGTTGTAGTCCCATTCCGGCGCTGGGAAAATGCTATCCTTGTTGCTACCCCTATTGGGAATTGGGATTATCATTTCTGTACAATTCTGGAAGAAGTAGAAGGCAATTATCATAACTGTTGGACTACAAACGTGTGTTTTAATTTAATGTCAACTTTCAAAATCATTTGTTGTCGTCACATGTAGAGGTCAATGAACTCTGTTACTTATGCATTAGCAAAGACAGCAAACTCTCAGGTTGGTTCTTGTTCTTGAAATTATTTTCTTTTGAACTTTATTCTGCCTCCCATTACTATTTCGTAATACGGAGTAATAATTTTTTGGTTTTGGCTTTAAATATATAATAATACATCTTTAATAAGATTAAATTCCATAAATATATTGAAGTGATGAAGTCTATATGGTGGGAATTCAATAGTCACTCTACTTGCAATAAGACACTAAATAAACCTGCCGCCTTCATTAATGCGTCTGCCGGGAGTCGAACCTGGATCTATTGCTTGGAAGGCAATTATCCTAACCGTTGGACTACAAACGCTTCTTGTTGACAGATTAATGCATTACAGTACAGATCACCAGAACGTAGAACTTTCATAGTGTTCTACTGTTCTGCATCTCCATTTTAGGAAGAACCGAAGAACCCACCAACGAAAATTGAAAAAAGGGGGAAAAACAAAAAGATGGGAAGCCTGTGAAGACAGCCAAGAAGCCATCCCAGCCGCGTCGAACGACCGAAAACGATCATCCACGGCTCCGCCCGGTGCTGTTACTCAGTACGAGCCTATAGAACAGATCCTGTTCAAGTAAGGTCATGACCAGGATTCACAAATTGAACCTTATATTTTGGTTTCCGGTTTCATAGTTGGCCGGTGTGGGATAATTTGTCAGTTTTTGTTGTGGAACTGAGACTATCTATCAGACTAGCGCAAATGGAAGCAATAAGGGTTTAATGAAATTCCGAAGCTGATGGTTTGATAAACAGTTATTGATTCATTATCATATCGAGGTCAGTTAGTTGCAATTTCTTCAATTCCTCAGTTGATTAGCATTTATATTCTGTTTGGAAGAAGATTAGCATCTCAATTAATCGCTTCATATATAGTTGTGTATAATTAATTCGGTTAGGGATTGGGTGTTGCGGTTTAGGAGAAAGTTAATCTCCTCGGTTTAATTGGATTCATAGAGAGAAATATAATATTGGGTATCCGTGGAAAGATGAGAGTCTGAATTGAAGCTTCGTCACTGGGTGGCTGTTATCTTAGGTTTTAGTTCGTGATGATAGATGCAACTAACAGTTTCATATTTTTGATTGAGTGTACTGTAATGTTTGCTTCTGAGTGGTTGCAGTTTTGTGACTAATTCATTACTTAGCATAGTATGTGAGAAGGAGGTATAATCTGTTGGCATTATTACAAGGATTTGACTGAAAAATAGCTAACCTACTGATTTATATTTAATTGTGGAATGCTTTGCTGTTAAGTTGTTTGCTCAAATTAAAGATGCTGACAAGCTTTATTCCTTTTTCTTTTTGGTGGGGGATTTTATTTTGCACTTGATGAATTTAATGAGCAGAAGCTATATATATAGTACACCACTTTCAGAAGCTATATATGGCCATCCATATTCTTGATCACGATTAGATTGATTTGTCAGTTTCTTTCTTCTCCATGATAATCATGGTGTACGTGCTTCTTGATTGAATGCATTACAAGTTTGTGTTAGTCTTTATCGTGAGGCTGAGGCCTTAGAGGGTTAGAGGAGGGGTGATTGCGTGAGACTGTGAGAGGCAAAGAGCCGGAGATCAGAGACCGAGAGAGTGCGAGGGTTGCAAGCGGTGAAGATGATTGAGAGGGGTGAATGAGAATCTAAAAGTATGATCTATCCTAAAATAGTTTATATAATTTCAGATTTCAGGTTAGATTGTCTTTTTGAATGTTTTCCCCAGTCTCTACTCCCACCAACAGCATCACCTAATCTACATGTTGGTAGTGGAACAAAAGAGCACCAAACTAAGAGTTTTAAAACTGCGGATTACCATCTTCCTTATCTGATTCCATCTAGAATACTACTGCTTCTTCATTCGTTCTGGACACCAGCAGCAAGCTTTTAATATTTACAGGTAAATTTGGAACATTGGATGGCAATCTGATAGCTGGAATGGACATTTTATTAGAGATTAAAGTAGAATATTCGAATCCAAAACAATATTTGCTAATGTTTTTCAATTAGTTTAGAATATCAGTACATGGTTGTGCCAAAGTATAAACCCACTTGAATTTTGTTGTTTCTGAGATTAGTTCATGGTACTCCTATTCCATCCTGTTCCCAATTTGCAACATGTTCTTATGCTTAAATATTTAATCAAATGGTTATTTTCATCGCATCATTGTCCTTGTGTCTCATCCACAGTTGAGATTCCTTGAAGGAATTTATTTTTATGCACAAAATCATTAAAAACACCAAAAAAGAGTGATATTTTGAATCAATCTTATGGGGATTAAAGGTAGCAAATGTGAGGCTTTATTTTTGTTGCATGGTCCTTTAAAAATACATTTTAAGTATTCTGGACATTGTATTCCCACTGTTCAAAAGATGCAGTGGGAAGTCCTAGAAGCCAAAATTGAAAATTGGATTCATTTTATGCGGATTTCAGTGAGGGGCTCTCTCCCATCCCATATGATTTATCTTTACTTTCACTTTTTCATTGTATTTACCAAGCTATGTATCTTTTAATAGGTCAATCTTTTATTTGCTGCGGAAAAAAGAATTTGTGATAAAATCTTTCACGGTCATGATGCTCTCAGGGAGCAATGTTTTGCAGAGGTTACTGCAAAGAGTATTGAGACGATTAAGGGTAACCCAAATTAATTTAACTCCTTGTGGTCTTTTGCTATCAGGTTTCACCTAAATGTGCATTCGAATAGTGAGTGCGAACTATCCTGTAAATTAAAGATTAAAGAAAAATATAAAAATAATTTAAAAATAATGATGTAGCATTGGTGATGAGTAGAGTGAAACTGTAAACACATTTGTCAATAATTGCATAATAGTAAGTATTTTTATTGATGATATATCATGTTCTCTTCTTCCAAATACTCTCTTGAACACATTGAGTTAAGCTCGTTCGGGCAAATACATCACGTTCTCAATACCGTCTTGTTCAAATTGAAAAACCCAATCACTTATGATAATATTGAGAGATCCATTTATGTATGATTTTTACCTCCTTCCTCCTCACATCCTTTAGCCATTTTGGATCTTCCTTCGTTGAAAATCTAAGGTCCACGTGATGTGCACCTGTTAAAAGCGCAAAAAAGTTCTTTTACTTATATATGCAAAATTGTTTGTATTTTTAAGCACATATAATTTATGGTGTTTTAAACTAAGATCGAGTACTCGAGTAGCACTTGTTTTTAACTTTAAGTTAAGAGATTAAATAATGAAATTTCAACTCTCTTAAATATATAGAGATGGGCAATTTATATCGTGCACCACGGCGCACATAACAATGTGCGCACAGACACAAAACGCGCGCGTTTCTTGCTGACGTCACTCCGTCCGTTCGAACAGACCAAACCTCATTCTGTGTATTCAGTAAAAAGTTTATGTGTATTGTGTTATGAGTTTATGTGTATTCAATTAAGAGTTTATGTGCGTTATGTTAACCAAACCACATTATGTGTATTCAGTTAAAAGTTTATGTGTATTGTGTTATGAGTTTATGTGTATTCAGTTAAGAGTTTATGTGTATTATGTTAACCAAACCCCATTATGTGTATTCAGTTAAATGTTTATGTGTATTATGTATTATGTTAGATTATGTGTATTCTGTTATGAGTTTATGTGCATTCAAAACAAAGAATTTTTTTTAACAACATAACAAAACGACGCCGTTTTGAGAGGCGCGGGGCGCACAGTGCTATGTGCGCCCTGGTGCACGGTATAACAATTGATAGAGATGTAATGATCGAGTCGAGTAGAGCAATATATCAAAACAACCTAGCCCACCCCATCACTTTTATCTTATTAAGAAATTAAAAAAAAAAATCAATAATAATTCAATTATTTACACGTAATAAAATTCAATAATTATATTACAATACAAAATAATAAAAAAATATTCAAATATAATAAGTAAATTGTTGTTTTTGAAACATACATATTTATTTAATTACAACTTTAAAAAATTAAATATAATTTGAGTTAGAGTACTTGTATATTTTTAGGAATAATTACTAAAACTTGTTTTACTATTAATTACTCCGTATTAATTTTTAGGTACGTACAACTTCAAAAACATATATGGTTATACTTCAAAAACTTCAAAAAGCACAATATTAACCAAAACCTTAAATTTGATGCAGAGTTTATCCATTACTAGTTTATTTTTTAAACCCTTAACCCATCACTTGTTGTCACTCAAAAAATCTAATCATGCAAAGCGACTTTAGCTGATACTGTGCGGATAGACATTGCCGTGCGATCGTACGGACATACACCAGTAGGTATATATGTAAGAATGTATCACGATGTGTTCAGAGATGCATCAGGGTGTGGTGCATTTATGCATTTCTGTGGTGCATTTATACTTACTAAGTGGTGCATAACCGCACTTCCCAGGGTTATAGTGAATTTTTGTGGTGTCTTTACGCATTTCACCTGGTGCATTTATTTATATCTATCTAATGGTGCAATCCATACGGCCTCACGAGAATAGGGCGCCACATTTGAACCAGTGTATATATTTATATATACTGGTCAAATGCGAATAGTGTTTCCTGTGCGGTCAGTGCAAATTCACCATTAACCATTACGTATGTAAAAATGCATCACACAGTATTTGGAAATGCACCAAATCTAATGGTGCATTTTTATTACTTTGTGGTGCATTTATGTGTACCTAATAATGAGTGTCCGCATGTGATTTTAATTATGTTTGTTGTCTAATTACTAACCTTCTTTTGCAACGATAGCAACTATGGATTTGGATATATTTTCCAGCACCCTGCAACATTATAGGAAAAAATTATTTTGGTAAACATAAGATGCAAATTAAATAATTTTACATTTAATAAGTTTAAATACGGTATAAACAGTTTTATACTGACCCTCCAGAACTCCATGGATCCCTCAATCCATTAAAGAAAATGATGTTGCTACCGAACCTTTTCAAAACCCTCTTAATATTCTGTTCATGCAAACAACATTTGAAGATTTATAAAATTTTAACAAATTAAAAGATATGAACATATAGGCTCTGTTTGGCAGAGCTTATTTAGGAGCTTATAGCTTATTTTAAGCTACTAATAAGGTATAATTTCTGTTTGGTAATGTTCTCAAAATAAGTTCCTAGCTTCCTAACTTTTTTTTCATTTTTATCCTTATTATTTTAAAGAAATAACATAATTTATCATTCTCAATTAAAACCCTTTTGTCTTCTACTTTATCCGCAACTTTCACTACAAATAATAATAATAATAATAATAATAATAATAATAATAATAATAATATTATTATTATTATTATTATTATTATTATTATTATTAGATTTGCAACAATATTGCTACTTTATTATGATATGCTAGATCATGATTATGCTAATAGTTTTATTTTAAAATGTTAATTTTTTTTAAAGACAAAATGTTAAATTTTAATATGTAAACAAACTAATTTAAATTTTATGAAGATGTCCTTTTTAGTCTTTTTACATTTATTAGCTTATCAAAAAGTTAATTTTACCAAACACTTTCAATCATAACAGCTAGTTTAACAGCACTTCAGTTTTCAGCTCCGAGCTTATAGTTTTTCAACTTTCAGCTCATTTTCAGCTTTCAGCTCCTAGCTTATAGCTTTTCAGTTAGGTTTGCCAAACAGAGCCATAGAGTTTTTTTTTTTTTTTTTTTTTTTTTTTTGAAAACATGAACATAGAGTTCTGTAATTGTAAATATAGAGTTCAATAATTATAAATATGAAGTTCAAAAATTATGAATATATAACTTTATAATTATAAACATATAGTTCAGTAATTATGAATATAGAACTGTATCCACCTTGCAAAGTGGACACAATTTCACTTTATAACGATTGATACTTACGTGGGCCCCGAACTCCGTGGTAATCCAATTGGGCCTGGGTTCGATGTTGAAGGCGTTCTTGCAAAATTTGGCATTTTCACTGTAGTTCCATTCGGAGGCTGGGAAAATGCTATCCTTGCTGCTAGCCCCAACTGGGATTATTATTTCCGTACAAGTCTGGAATAATAATAATAATCTTCTTAACTATAATAAAGCTATATGGTTTGAAAAGTAATTAATGTTATAATTATTATTTTGGTGAGTAATTATTGTTATAATTATTATCTCTATCCTTATTAATATAAAATAACCACAACATCCTTTATTATAAAAAAAAAAAAAAAAAAAAAAAAAAAAAAAAAAAAAAAAAAAAAAGAGCACAACATTTGAAAAATAAAATAGCTATTTTTTTTCTCACCCATAACAAAGGATTACATTTATTGAATTAATGGAGTTATTAAATGTTATGATATTATGATTAAAGATTCCAATTCCCGATTAATAGAAAATATGAAACGATGCAATATTAATTAAATCTCTGGCTTTACAATGAAAGTCTATTTGATATGTTTTTGTTATTTATGGTGCTTCTTGGGATTACAATATTAATTAAATTTTTGATGAAAACCTATTCAATATTTGAAACAGTGCAATTAATGCAAGCCTCTACATATAATTTTTCCCCCCCTCAAATGCTTCAAAAAATGGCAGAAGCGAGAAGGGATGAAGAAAGC